AGATACACAATGGGCTATCTGTGCTCTGCCCACCACAGGTATCGAAACCCGGATTCTAGCGTTGTAAGTCCGCAGACATACCGCTGTGCCACTGGGGGTCTAATACTTTAGTTTAATGGATTTTGTTATTGGTCGAGCACGACCCAATGGTTAGCGTGCCAGGCTGTGGACCTGAAGGTCTGTCGTTCGCATCACGTTCCTGCTATCAAAAGAATCTAGCTCAATACTTTTGGATATAGGTACGTTAAACGAGCGGCGATTAAACCCATACACTATTCGGTCTGGCAAGAGTAGCAAAAGGGTTGGCGGTAGGTGCTGTTCACGAGCTGCCTTTCCTCTAGTTTATCAGTTCAAACATAAGGACGACTATGTGCAAATAACATTTTTTTCATGTAGATTTGGGCAAAAATTCTGAAAAAATTCGGTATTTAAGTTAAGTTATCTACATTCTTTCAGCTACTACCAAACACGGTATTTAAGTTAAATTATCTACATTCTTCCAGCTACTGCCAAACACGGCATTTAAGTTAATAGAAGAAATACCGCTCTCCAGGCAGGTATAACTGCTAGTTCCTGCGGATCCCCATCCCACCAAACATGCTCGTCCTTTCAGCCGTGGGGGCGTTATAATGTGACGGTCAATCCCACTATTCGTTGGTAAAAGAGTAGCCCAAGAGTTGGCGGTGGGTGGTGATGACTAGCTGCATTCCCTCTAGTCTTAAAATGCTAAATTAGGGACGGCTAGCGCAGATAGCCCTCGTGTAGCTTTGCGCGAAATTCAAAACAAACAGTTCCTGCGGCTTTTTCTGGAATTGTCTGACAGTTCTACAACAATGTACTCATACTTGACATTCAATAATGTTCACCATTCCCGAAAAAAAAAATGATTTTATTGAAATATTTCTTTTAAAATGAGCTATTATCACAGCATTACATCACAAAGTAGAGTTTATTGAAGTCTTTCTTTGTATGAAAGTGCCTTAATTTTCTGTTGGAATACTCATCAGATTTTCACTGAAGAAAAACAAATAATTTATTAAGTTTGTTTTATATTGGAAACTTACTCCTTTTTGTTTGTAATGTTTATTGATTAAATCTGAAACACGTCATTTTTGTGGAAATTTCAATTGTTTTATTTATAGCTCAGCTATAAAAAATACAGCCTAATTATAAAACAATATTACCCAGCTGTGATTGGTGCGGTAGTTTCCGAGACCCGACGTATACTTCGCAAGCACTATTATAATAAGCTACAACAGCGCGTACTAAATATTCTATTTTGTACTTCCTTCACACGCAGGATTTTTATTGGATTGTTATTATAATCATTGTATGACGGCTTATGGGTAAAACTTTTCTTAACCAATGAACGTAAAGAGGCATTATAGATATGTAATGTATCAAAATGTATATGCTTGTTTTGTTAAGGTTAATGATTATTTTATGTCAAAACACTTGTTTTCAAAAGACTAAAGACTGTTCATTGCGTTTTTCAGTGCCAGTAATAGCAGACAATTGAAACCATGGCCCCACATTTGCAGCGGTCTAGTAACTCAGGTCAGTTTATTCGTTTTTTGCTGTTGCCCCCCCCCCCCATTTTTAGCCTACTTTTGATATAAATAATAATAATAATATATGTTGATTGTAGTTTGGTCTGTTTTGAATTTCACACAAAACTACTCGAGGGCTATTTGCACAAACCGTTTCTAATTTAGCAGCGATAGACTAGAGAGAAGGTAACTAGTCACCATCATCCACCGCCAACTCTTGGGCTACTCTTTTTACCCACGAACAGTGAGATTGACCGTAACATTATAACGTCACTACGACTTAAAGAGTGAGCATGTTAGAGTATGGGAAGTTGAGCTCGCGACCCACAGATTGCGAGTCAAGCACCTTTAACCACCAGACCATTATAGTGTCGGATGACACGTACAAAGTTTGTTTGTTTGTAATTAAGCACAAAGCTACACAATGGATTATCTGTGCTCTGCCCACCATGGGTATCAAAACCCGGATTCTAGCGTTGTAAGTCCGCACACATACCGCTGTGCCACTGGGGGGGGGGGCACGTACAAAGTAGTGTGGCTTTAATTAATGATAGCGTTTCGTAAAGAAGTCTTCACTTCGCGTAAACGAGACGGGGTTGTACATTTTAATATTGATTTTAAAGGATAGTACATAATTAAAAACCATTCTACTATCTTATTGAAAAAACAACAACAATAAGAAACATTTAGATATGCATAAGCTGAATTCAGTTCCGATTGACAATGGTAGACATTTAAAATAATAACAAATCAGTGTTGGTGTTGGTCACTCTAGCGGGAGGACTGAGCCGAAGGTTCCGAGCTGACAGTATGTTTTACAGAATAGATGATGTATTACGTATTATCTATGAACAATATTACATTGGTTTAATATATTTCACATGTACATAACAACCACGATATAAGTTCCATATCACGATATATTTTCTGTTTATGTTTCCATTCATCTATATCCAAAACTGCAGTATATATTGTTGTTAGTGGTATGAAATCAGATGTTGTAGCCTACCTAATGATAATGTAAAGCTGTGGTATGTTTGAATAGCTCAAGTTTCTAACTTTTAGTATTGTTGTAGTATTTTATTATTTATCCTCTAATTAAGCTGATTTTCTTCTTTTGGGATTCTTACATTGATGATACCTGTTCTGAAGAATGTTGCAGCAATAATGCATGTTCTACAAAGGTATCAACAGCACTGTCCTTTAGTGGTAGCGCAGGTGGTAACCAGAGGTTACGGCCTCACATATAGAGAAACCAGAATGGGCCAATCACGCGAGTAGCTTTCGTCACTCTAGATAAATAATTTAGTCATTGTGGAACAGGATCTTGAAAGAGTAAAAATTTAATGAAATAATCCAGTAAAAGTGAGGGCCACTGGTTGCAAAAAAAGAAAGTACACACACTATATTTGTGTTTCACGTTTTTTATAGTAAAGATTGTACTTTTTGTTTCAAATCTTGTTATGCTTTTCAAGTTTACGACTCAGTTAATCAGAGATTTAGCATTACTTCATAACTGGTATATTGACAAAATCTCATGTGGACTTATCACATTGCTTAAAAGGTAAGTCCATTTTAGCTGAATATGCCACAAAATGGGTAGGAAGGAGAAAAGTTTGCTGCATGACTACAAAATATATTGTGGAGTTTGCTAGATTTGCTGAAATGTGTACTGCTCTTTACTCCTACTCTTGTGTTATAGCGTTTAAAAGGCTTCATAGCTGAGAAAATTGCAATTTTCACAACTAGAAGGACTTACATTTAAGGGAAATAGTTGGCCACAGAGTGGAGATGGTTGCAAAAAAAAGTTGTCAGATTGTGATATGTGGGAGTATCATATATATTCTTACTGCTTTTATTAATGTAGGATTTTATTTTCATTTAGTTTGTTCCTCTGCAGTTTTGGCATAAGCACGTGGTCCAGAAAACTACTGAAATTGTTTCACTCTAGCTAAATACTGTACAGTTTTTGTCATCCAGAAAAGACTTGGCCAAGGCAGTGTAAATTCTGACAGAGAATTGTTGCTTCTCATCCACAAAGAATAGCCCTGGATATTACTGGACCACTCCTGTGGATGGAATGAGGTTATCTGTACATACTAAAGATAATTGATTACTTCAGGAAATAGGACAAGGACCATTCGTTAGTTGATACATCTACACAGTCTAGATAGCTGATGCACTGGATAGCTAAGTTTTGAACAGTCCCATATTTGTCAAGGAGCTGCATTTAACAACCAACTGTTCTCTGAGTTGTGTAAAATGTTGGGTGTGAAGAAGTGCACTTCTGCCTATCACCCATAGTCTGATGGTTGAATGGAATGGGCAATATATGCTTGCTGAGTTTACTAACTCCATTCATACCTACTGTGATGAATACTTATACTACACAATTGAATATAGATCAACAGGCCAAGAAGTTTTCCTCCCTGTTAACATTATATATAGCCCTCCACCTGCTGTGGATGTCTCATAATGTCCACAGGAATATCTAGAGTGGTTGTGTTCTACAGTTATTGACATACACAAGTGCAATCATCTACATCTAGGAAAGTTCATTATAGAATAGAAGAGATACTACTGTTACGAATTTGTTATTATATATTTATTTTAATATCAACGTTTGTTTAGATTAAGTTTGTATTTAGAAACATAAATAGCTTATACTGTTAAATATGTATTGCGAAACTCCCGCCTATTTTCTAAAGTTTTAGAAGATTCTCGAGAATAAGAATCAACAATATATGTGTGTACGTAAGCACTTAAATTGTATTGTTACGTAATCTGAATTTTCTAGAAAACCTTCCCACGGCTATAAATATAACCAACGCGACGCACTATAGAGAGTACCTATTATTATTTTGCAATAATCAGTGTGCTATAAAACTTCGGAAGCTATAACTGTGATTGTTATAACGCTTATCAATCGGAAAACTTCAGATATATTGACCAGGAATATTTATAAATTTCGAACATTACAAAACATTTAACTTCAGCGGATTCTCATCGGACATTAATACTTTTACGAAAACATTGCCTAACGTCATCTTGCTGTTTGTTATTGCTCTTTGATGACTACTTTACACTGAAGGGAAACTTCAAATTAAACCACGATCTTTTGAGTTATTACTGTTCCAAACGACATACAGTAGTTAGGAATCACATATATAATGAAATAACCTAGGTGAGAAGTTATTTGATTCCTAACGGTTAAATTATGAAACTGCAATCAACATGAATGGCTCTTTTTCAATTCTTTAACTTCAGATACAACGTTAAGGTAAAAGTAACGTCATGATTAAAAAAGAAAAGTAAGGCTAACATTTTCCTGGTACGAACAACACTGTGAGGATCTACACAAATGCAGGTTCCAAGCAATACAGAAAAGGAGCACAGGAACTTACAATTACAAGTTACAACTGTAAGTTTTTCCGGGGTTTGTGACACATCGAGCATGTAGCATTTATTCCACACGCGGCATAAGGAAAACCAGTCTCAGTATTGTAATTTGTATTCGGCGCCATGATTATTTCTTAACCTATAAATTATATAACGTTATCAGTAAATATGAAATTTTTTTCGGTGTTTTAGAGTTATCTTACAATTTCTTAAGTAACAGTCGAAATGATAAATCGTCCACATTAACCGGTGAAGGTATTTTTACTAAATATTATGTGGGCTACACAATCTTCAGCGTCATCAAACAACAAACTAGAAATCCCTATCAATCATAAAAGTAAGTTTGGTTTCATGTATTATATAAATGTTATCTGTTTGTACAGCGGATGTCAGAGCCATATGCTACGCTGATTACAATAGTTTCTTGAAATACAAAAAGTAGCTTAAACAACAGTTCGCGTGTGGTTTTCATTTCTTTCTAAACAGTAAAGTTTGAATAGTTAAATATTGAATAGCTAATCATCACATGAATGATTAATTCGTACTCGGTTATTATTTTAGTATTTATTTAGGTGTGACATTAGTGTAAACTTTAAACATTATGTCATCATTAAGAAGTGCTTAGAATTAAAAGTCATGAATTTGTAATGACACAGCCCTATACAGATACTGTTATTAATATTAATAAATGACAACCAAAATATATTAATCTAATCCCTATGGAAACATGCCTCATTTAATAAAAACTCTTAATTAAAATTAGATTGCTAACCATTTGCATATTAAGCTAGCAACACCTGCTAGTCAAATTTATAACTTCATTTCAAGGGTTTTTTGGTACATTGATTTTTTTGTGTGGTAGAAAATAGATACCAGTCACACACTAAAGACTAAAGGGCACAATGCTGTTTAAATATATCACATTTTCTAGTTACTCCTTCTGTCTTTTCTTATCTTGAATTGTACTTATTGTCCCTAGTTATGTGTCTGTTCAGTTTTAGTATCTTCAGTAAATCCATACACTTTTTAATAAAATGAAATTTATGATCAGTAAGTTAAGGTGTGAAAATATAGAAAGAAAATGTTCTATAATTCACTGATACCTCTCTTATCCCTCCCATCTGTTCACTTTATTTGTTACTTACATGCCATCTTTGTTTGTTTACAGGTGTGGTAGCACCACCATGGAAAGAGGCAACAAGCTTGATCATGGTAAAGAAGGCTTCCCTTCAGCAAGTGGTGGGTGATGAGCTAAGTTCCTTTATGAGGGCAATGAGATCACCAAGTAAGCAAAAAGATGGTTATGATTATCGTATGTTGATGGTCAAACGAAGCAGCTTAAGCTCTTTCATGAGTAATGCATTTGTATTTCCAGGTGGATTGGTGGAAGAGGCAGATTTTTCTTCTGCCTGGTGGACATTGTTTGCAAATTTTGGTGTAAGTAAAGACTCGTTGCTTCAGGAGATTTGTGGGATTAAAGGCCCTCGTCCTCCAATGATACAAAAACCGTTAATGCTGTCTGGCTTGTCAGTTCCACCAAAACAGTGCCTTCCAACAGACTTGGCATATCGTATAGCTGCAATAAGAGAAACGTTTGAAGAAACCGGGGTTTTAATAGCAAGACATGATGTTGAAAACAAAGAAACTGCAGCTTCGTTGTTTAAAAGTGATGATATTGACTTAGCTGAGTGGAGAGCTAAGTTACAGAAAAGTCCTCATAGTTTTCTTGAGCTTTGTTGGGAGTTAAAAGTATGCCCAGATGTGTGGTCATTGTTTGAATGGTCCAACTGGTTGACCCCAACTTCTGTTGGTCACAAACGCTACGATACCATGTTTTATATTTGTTGTATAAACACACACCCAGACGTTATACTGGATGACAATGAGGTTATAACACTGAAGGTTGGTATCATTTGTAAGTGTTGAATTATTTTTAATCCACATTTACCTTTATGTTGAAAGTGACACACTTATTGACTAGTATTTATTTTACATACCTTTCAGTTGAAAGTGACACACTTATGTGACTAGTATTCATTTTATGTACCTTTCTGTTGAAAGTGACACACTTATGTGACTAGTATTCATCTTACATACCTTTCTGTTGAAAGTGACACACTTACTGACTAGTATTCATTTTACATACCTTTCTTTTGAAAGTGACACACTTATGTGACTAGTATTTATTTTATGTACCTTTCTGTTGAAAGTGACACACTTATTGACTAGTATTCATTTTACGTACCTTTCTGTTGAAAGTGACACACTTATTGACTAGTATTCATTTTACGTACCTTTCTGTTGAAAGTGACACACTATGTGACTAGTATTCATTTTACGTACCTTTCTATTGAAAGTGACACACTATGTGACTAGTATTCATTTTACGTACCTTTCTGTCGAAAGTGACACATTTATGTGACTAGTATTTATTTTACGTACCTTTCTGTCGAAAGTGACACATTTATGTGACTAGTATTTATTTTACGTACCTTTCTGTTGAAAGTTACACACTTATGTGGCTAGTATTTATTTTACGTACCTTTCTGTTGAAAGTGACACACTTATGTGACTAGTATTTATTTTACATACCTTTCTGTTGAAAATGACACATTTATGTGACTAGTATTCATTTTACGTACCTTTCTGTCGAAAGTGACACATTTATGTGACTAGTATTCATTTTACATACCTTTCTGTTGAAAGTGACACACTTATGTGACTAGTATTCATTTTACATACCTTTCTGTTGAAAGTGACACACTATGTGAATAGTATTCATTTTACATACCTTTCTGTTGAAAGTGACACACTTATGTGACTAGTATTCATTTTACGTACCTTTCTGTTGAAAGTGACACACTTATGTGACTAGTATTTATTTTACGTACCTTTCTGTTGAAAGTGAAACACTTATGTGACTAGTATTCATTTTATGTACCTTTCTGCCCAAAGTGACACATTTATATGACTAGTATTCATTTTACGTACCTTTCTGTCGAAAGTGACACATTTATGTGACTAGTATTCATTTTACATACCTGTCTTTTGAAAGTGACACTTATGTGACTAGTATTCGTTTTACGTACCTTTCTGTCGAGAAGTTACACATTTATGTGACTAGTATTCATTTTACGTACCTTTCTGTCGAAAGTGACACATTTATGTGACTAGTATTTATTTTACGTACCTTTCTGTTGAAAGTTACACATTTATGTGACTAGTATTTATTTTACGTACCTTTCTGTCGAAAGTGACACATTTATGTGACTAGTATTCATTTTACGTACCTTTCTGTTGAAAGTGACACACTATGTGACTAGTATTCACTTTTCATGTATGGTATTTTTTATTACTATTCACCTTTGGAAAATGTACCTTTAAGACGTGTTTCAAGCTTTTATGGTTATTATCTACTCAATATGCACGAGAACTTATTCATGTTAAAAAGTACAATTTTAATGTTGAAATATCAGATCTTCTCTTCCGTTACTTTCCCTATATGTTTTATGGATTATTTTTGGTATATATAAATATTGCTCTATACAGTAGTGTTGTGTCTTTACATTTAACATACCACAACAGATCTTTTTAAAATTAACTTTAGAAAAGTTTAATTTTTGTTTTCGTCTGTTAAGGAACAGAATACAAATCCAGGGGGTGGAAAAAAAACAAACTAACATATGCATTATTATATCTTGAAATATACATATTTATGTAGTACATAATATAGAAATAGAAAAACAAATGTAACATGTCTTCAGCTTTTAAGAACCTGTTAAGACAACAGAAAATTATTTTCAAAGCAATAAGATATTGGGGGGGTCTGCTTTTTCTAGAACATTGATTAAGAAAATGTTTTCTTTTAGTAAGAACGTTTACCAGTACATTCTTTATGTATATAGGTTTGTTTTTAATGCAAATAAAATGAAGAGAAAATTGATTAATAACTACCAAAGTGGTAAATATTTTCATTACGGTCATAATACATACACATCTATACAAACAACAATTCATTTTTAGTAGTATTTCTGACTTGGAAAAAGTATGTGTTTTATAAACGTTTTGAAAGACCCTCGTTAGCTTGTGGATAAGAACATCAGATCTACACTTACATATGATATAGTAAACTAGTTTGAAAACTAAAATCTGTAAAGTTTGTAAAAAATGGAAGCAGAATATTTTCTAAGTTTTTTTTACAGATAAAAAATAAAAATGAAGATTTATATTAACCCTATGTACATGAAATGCACTTGCTACAGAGAGCCATTCATCACAGTATTATGTGTTTGATGTCAGAGTTATCAACTACTTATTTATCCTACATCGCAAACTTTGTAAAAAGAGACTAAATAACAGATAAAATATACAGGGATAGTGAAAAAAAACTAGATATGTATTTTGGAGGGTCTATAGGTTATGAAAATGCAATATGCAAACTGTACAACAGACAAACATGTGTTATTATTATTCACATGAACATCACCTTGCTCTCTGACTTGTCAGAGCCCGAGTCAATGGATGGTATCAATTCACAGACATTTCTTGAGTACAGATACTTTTATAACACATCTGATTTTATGTGTACAACAGACTTGTGCATTTTACTAAGAGCTTGCCGTATTCTGTCACATAGTAAATTAGGAATTATATTCAACATTCCTTCCCCAATACTGGGTAAGTCCAGTGGACTCAATCTATACACAGTTGGTTAGTGATTTAGTTTCAATATTTGCTTACTGAGATTTTAGTAAGGTCCTAAATTTTGCTAAAGTATATACATATGATCAAGTGACAGCTACTGCTCAACTTCATGGTATGTTTATCATGAAGTAATGTATTTATTTATTAATCAACGTAGAGTAATATGTACTACAGGCATGTGTATGTGTAGCACAACACTTGTTTGACACACGCATTTATGTTAATATAAATAGTGAAAGTACCATTATTGTCACAGGCTTCTTATCATAGAATAGTTTTTTAAAATATGGCAATCTATCTACATAGTTTTTTCTGAATTCGTCATAATTAAATTTAAAATGATAATAGCATGAAAATAGTAGATATATTAACAAAAATATAAGTATTCAGTGGCCAACTTTACGAGTAATTTGATTATTTTTTATTTAAGTTGTAAGGAGCATTGTTGATCTTCACTGAGAGACCATGCAAATGAACTTGTTAATTACATTATTTTATATTTAAAGTTTCTTATTTAATTTATCTTTGTATGAAACTTATTGGTTTGATATTTCTTGATAAGTAAAATGAACCTAACTTTTAATCTTTTGATGTTTTTTATGGTACAGGCTTTTATATTGTGAAATAATAAGTTTCAGTAAAATTTCATTTTATCAGAAAGTTTTACTGACCATCTTTACTAAAAATAATGTTTTGTCTTTTTCTTGCAAATTTAAATGAGTTTGAGTACTATACTTTTTACAGTAAACTTTCAAACTGCGCTATATATACATGTGTAAAAAGAGTATGTTAGAGTCACGTTTGCACTGTGTACTGTTTGAGTAAAAGTATATAATACACGTTATTAAACAATTGAAATGTTATACGAGACTTGATTTCAATATTTCAGTGGTGCAGCCCTATGGAGATGCTTAAGGAGTTTTACTCCAACTCTCTTTTCCTGGCTCCACCGCAGGTGTATGAGCTGTCGAGGCTCCTTGGTCTAGACAGTTACAAATCTCTGAGGAACTTTATTGTTGAAAGAAGAGAAATGGGTGTCGAACAATGGTTACCTGTGATCTGTACTGCTCTAGATGGAGCAGTGTCTGTATTGCCAGGTAGGGTAAAATTATGCTAACGTGTAACACACAAACTCAATTATCAATTCATTTAAACCCTAAAGAGAGTAAAGTTTAACCCTAAAATATAAGGAACTTGCAAATGCTTGTCTTTTATCAGTTAACTTGATCTAGGCCTACAGTATAAATACATAGATAGTGTAATCGGTAATTTTAAACCCATAATAATGCAAAAACTATTAAATGTGAGCAGTGTTGTGAGGAGAGGGTGAGATCATGGGGATCTTCCATATCTGAAGTATATGTTCTCTTAAAAACAGTACATTGTCGACTTTGGTGGGCATCTGCCATTTTGACCTGTCAAATTCAAATTTCCTCAAGTAGGCCTGTATCTTAACAAACAAGTGTTTTCTGTTGCGTATGTTTTAAGTAATAAATACGACTACATTCATTTCACTTTTGACCAATCAAAGGGAAACTAGCATGGAATTCTACTAGATCCAAAATGAGGCAAAATTTGTTTATAGCATTGGCAAGCCTTGCCTCCATTGTGACCAACTGAGGCTTATAGCATTACAATGGAGGCAAGGCTTGCCAATGCTATAAGCCTCAGTTGGTCACAATGGAGGCAAGGTTTGCCAATGCTATAAGCCTCAGTTGGTCACAATGGAGGCAAGGTTTGCCGACCAACTGAGGCTTATAGCATTGGCAAGCCTTGCCTCCATTGTGACCAACTGAGGCTTATAGCATTGACAAGCCTTGCCTCCATTGTGACCAACTGAGGCTTATAGCATTGACAAGCCTTGCCTCCATTGTGACCAACTGAGGCTTATAGCATTGACAAGCCTTGCCTCCATTGTGACCAACTGAGGCATCAGTGACTTAAATTACTGATGAATAATAAAATACCCCAAATTACTGTACTAATATAACTGAAGAGAATCTACAAACTATTTCATAGGATATTAATGTCAATACGCTAGTTATGTGCCTACCCATGACGTTATGGGTGGAACACCAATAATTTACATATATTTAATGTGTCACGCCTGTAGATAATTTAAGATTTTATCTTTGAAAACTTAAATGTTACAAATTGTAACAATAATTTGTTTAATTGGAAAGTAGTGCTAACATGAACTTTAATTGTTTATTCTCAGTAGTACTTTTCAACATGAAAAACGATATGTCTTAAAGGTGTCCCCCAAAATTTCCAGTGTCAACTAATTTTGATATAAGTGTCTTAAACTACAGAATCTAGGAACAATGCTGGTTTTACTCAAGCACAAAATGAAGCTTGCATCGACCTTCATACACGTGCATGACTGAGCTTACATGTGTGTCCTAAATACTTGTTAATGTTGTTGTCGAGCTAGTTTTACATGTATTCCTTCATCTAGTGGTTGGGTTAGATGTAGAAGACAGCTTAAGTGTTTATCATATACACTTATTAATGTTGTTCTCAAGCTATTTTCCCATGTAATCCTAGTCTAGTAGTTGTGTTAGGTGTAGAACAAACTTGTAACTCATTAGCTAGTTAATTGTGTGTGTGTTTGATGTTTAGTTTTGTTGTACATATGCACAAATAATATATTAATTTCATGCCTAGCTGGAGCTTTGTAAGTTCTAGTTTAGAACATAATTGCATAGTTTATCAAGTACTTTTTCAAAACTGTAAATATTTGTCTTGCAGGTACTATCACACTTAACATGGCTTCTCTGACTAGTTTTCTGTATAACTACTTTAAGGTTCTAATGCTGTGTACTTTAAAGAAATGT